CGCCGCCTCCCCGGCCTTCGGGGCAGCTCTGCCACCGCACCCCCTCCCCCGTCCCCGCCCGCGTCCGGGCTGGCAGCGCTGGGAGTGGCGGACACCCAGAAGGCCCTTCTGTTTGGAGGCCTGGGTGGGGAAGAGGGCAGGACCGGAGGCCGGAGCTTGGGAAGTTTTCTAGAGCTGTTCTCACCTGCTTCGTGCAGGGGAAGCCCAAGCAGCCTTCTGGTGGCCTGCCCTCCCTCCACCCCGGGGTCCTTCAGCCCAGGCCTGGCAGAGCTGGGCTGCTGTCTATCCCCAAAGCCTGCTCTTGTCCTCGGTGCTGCGCGGTGGGCCTCTGGGCTGGGAGGGCCGGTGAGGCACCTGTCCTGAGTCCCAGGAGGAACCCGGGACTGCTGGGCCGTGGGACCAGGTCTGCCTCGGACCCTTCACCTGGGAGCCCCTGGGTGCCTCCCTCCAGATGAGGGAGTGCAGACACACCCCTCTCCTCCCCTGACTCCCCATTCCCCATCCGGAAGCAGAGAAGAGGGAGGAGGAGGAGGCTTTCCCAAGCCCAGGAGGGCAGAGTCAGCTGCTGTCTCCAGTGTGTGCTGAGCCCTCTGGGCCTGGTGTGGTCAGCGGGCAGCGTGCCCTGCTGCACGTCCACAGCCCCTCGTGGCCAGAGCACTTGGTGCCCGTTGGCCGGGCCTGTCAGCTCCTGAGGGCACGGCCCAGGGGCTGAGGTGAGCAGCCGTGGAGTGGAGGGAGGCCTTGCAGAAGCATCGCCCGTGAGATCAGACCATGGGAAAGGCCAGACACATCCCAGGAGGGCTGGATCCCCGACTCCCTTCTTCCATGATGGAACGGCAGCCCCTGAGGGGTTGAGAAGGTGAAACGGCACACATTTAGGTACAGGTGCAAAGCCCTGTGGACGGCGGGGCCTGCCCTCTCCCGGCACACACTGAACAGAGGCTGAGGGGTCAGAGAGCAAGGGTGCTGCCCACCTGACAGGCGGAGCGGGTGAGAGCGGAGCCTGTCTGAGCTGCGGGTCTCCACTCGGCCAGCCCGGCCCTGGTGCCTCGGCCCATCTGGGCCGTGCTTCCTGGACGCGGATGCAGGGTGGCTGTCCGTGCACCTGCGTGCTGACCGCGGCCACCTTGCCTCGACCCTCTCCCTGCCAGCGTCCTCACTTCCCCAGACCCGGGCGGCCTCTGCGTCTCTCCTGTGTGCTCTCTGTGACGTGTAGGTGGGGGACCTAAGTTCCACAGACTTCCGGTTTAGGGCTCAGGGCCGACGCTGGAAGGAAGGTGCAGGGGCCAGCTGCTATTCCGGGGAGAGTGGAGCCTTTCTGTCCTGTAAGGCCCGAAACCGGGCAGTGGGTGCCCGCCCTGGGCCGGCCCGCTCTCTTGCCAGGGCTGCCCTGACCATGTCGCTCCAGAGGGCAGGTTCTCGGTTTAAGGGTTCCCCATTGCCTTCCAAATAAAGGTTGACCTCACGGAGACCTGAGGGCACCACATGTGCCCTCCTGTGTGGGTGCCGGGCAGACAGCCGCCGTGCAGAGCGGGAACCGTGAGGTGCACTTCCCCCCGGATGCCAAAGTCTGCATTTGTTGGAAGGTGCGAAAACCAGACACCCTCATGGAGCGGAGGGCCAGACCTGGTCATGGTTGGGCCGTGACCCGAGCACTTCCCCGGGGCCCTGGTTTCCCCTTCTGTAAACGGAGGGGGGGGGCAGCCTCACCCTTCCTGTCAGCCAGTTGTTCAAGGACACAGGAGCACTTTGTGCAGAAGTGACTAGAAGACTGTGAAACGGCACGGTCTGCCTACCGCCCCCACCGTCGGTCTCCCCTGGGGTGAGCGGGGCCCTCCCTGCCCCCCAGAAACACGCAGGACCGGCCTGTTCCCGGTGATCGGTGTGGCCCGGGATGTCCTGTCTCTGTATGCGAGGACCCGTTCGCTCCCCTCCCCCTCTCGGCGTCCCAGCCGGCTCGGCTACAAGTGAACCCACAATTAAAGTTGCTTGTCTGAGCCCAGTGTCACTGCATGGCCACCACTTTCTCACACATTTTATTTTTCTGGGAGCCGCTGAAAAAAGTCACATGATGAGCAGACGCATGGACTTCACAGCGGTCCCTCTGGCAGCAGGGGGGTGG